AATTACGGCTATATTAAGTATATTGGTCATTTAACACATTGCACGCGCGCGCACGTGCATGCATATGCATGCATGCATGCATGTGCATGATGACCATGTCATCTTGTCTACACTTTTAATATATATAAATATTTTGAGTATCAAAGCATTTCATCAAAAAGTATCAAAGTTACGACTATATCAAGTATATTTGTCATTTTACGCTTTGCGCCTGCGCACACGTGCATGCATGTGCATGCTGACCATGTCATCTTGTTTTCACTTCTAATATATCCTTATATTCTGAGTATCAAAGCATTTCATCAAAAAATATAAAAGTTACAGCTATATCAAGTATATTGGTCATTTTACGCATTGCACGCGCACGCACGTGCATGCACGTGCGCGCAAAATGACCTTGATTCCGCATATCTACAAAACATGCCTATTAACCCTAAAAAGGTTTCACCTCAATCGGATGAGTAGTTGACGAGATCACTCGCGGACAAAAAAGTACCCAGGAAGAAGAAGAAGAAGAAAACTAGACTCTTGTTGCCATGGCAACAAAAAAGTCTTCCGTTCTTCTAAATCTGTAAGAATTTGCTTTTTTCTGTGTAAAAAACATACATATCATATTTACTGTGAAAGAAAAAAATAACTGGAAAAAAGTCCTTTCAGTACTTAAGGTACTTTGATTTTCATTATCAATCTTGTATAATACATTTGGCACCTATAAGAGATATACGTATATCATTTGCAATTTAAAAAAAAAATGTTTGCAATCATTTCTAAGACAAACAAACAGACGAACGAACACCGTACTATCATAAACTTCACTGTGTGTATGTTTTGGCATAATTGTGATGGTGTTATAAAAAAATATAATGAATTAATTTAGTATCACATTAAACGTAAAGTCACTGAGTTTTGTAAAGTTATAATATCAAGATTTGACAACATACCTATAAGACAAATTATTCAATTACAGTAATTCTTCAGCAATCGATTGATTGATTGATTATACGTATGTTGTTTAATGTCCCTCTCCAGAATTTTTCACTCACATGGAGACGCCACCACTCGCCGGTGGAGACTGTAAATTTTTGTCCTATATTTTGGCATTTATCGCAATTGAGCAGTGGGGAATCTTTTTTATGCCAGCATCTTCTGCGACAAGGGACCTCGATTTATACGATCTCATCCAAAGGACCGGTCTCCACGTCCCACAATCGAAGTTCATAATACCGAGATATTTTATTTTTTATTTTATTCTATTTTTTTCACAAGTTTGTTGCAGCAGATTTACTTAAAGATCATACTTCAAGATCATTTCGAACTCAGGCTACGCAATTGCAGTGCATACAGCGTCAAGTGATTTTGATTGACAGGTCAACACACGTGCACTTCGTGTGATACTTTTTAAGCTGAAAAATATACAGGATGTGACCATGACTGACTATGAAATCAGAAAACATCTAATAAAGAATGGGTGTGACCGATAAAGAACTAATTTTTGGTCTGGATCGGGATTAAGAGGGAATCTCTCCTCTCTCTCTCTCAGACATGTAAATTGAACATTTCATAACTATAAAATATGAAATTCTGTATACATGTAAATGGTAATGTTATTCACATGTTCCAGATTTAAATCTAAAACGAATATATAATTCAAATTCAAGACGGGGGGGGGGGGCTTCAAAGGAATTAGATAATTTTATGAATTACAAGGAAAAGTACGGACGTCAGTTGCATGTACATGATTATATATCATTGCATAAAATTGTGTTCGTTCAAATATACTTATCCCACATATCAACAGACTTGTACTTTTTTTTATCATGTTTTTTTTTTCCAAAAGAAACATATAGCGTACCATTATTTCACACACTCTTTAACTCTTTGAGTATTTCACAAGAACCCAAGAATCGCCTTTTCACATCTTTTATAATTCCTTGGGTATATAGAGTATAGATCATGTGTCATAAATAATTTAACCTTTTATCAAATATATATGTAATAACCAAATCTAATCTATAGATTGATTTTCTTTCTTTTCAGTGGCAGATATCAATTTATTTATAAAGGCTTTAAAACAGTACTGTATTACAATTTTCTATCGCTTAATTCCTTTTTTGAGTGTATGTAATATTTTTTGATATCGAAAGTAAAACTCGGAAATCGGGATAATTTCGCATTCAGATCATAGAGAATAATAAATCGTCTGCATTATAGAAGGCTTATAACTATCGTATTCTGAACTTAATATACGAAATAGATAAAACTGCATGCCTGTCCATCACTATAAATGTATATTCAGTGTTTATAATATATTTACTTGAATTAGCTACCTAGCATATATATATATTAATTTTTTTTAGATATATTCATGTGTAAATTAACTAACTGTCAATACAGACTTACACTACACTGGCAACTTCAAACTTTACATGCACTGGAAGCGGTAACCAACGTCCTCTTAAATTTTGAAGAGTGAATATAGAACGTCTAAATATTTTGATATGGAGAGTGTATATGTCTCTAACGTCATCGATACTATTTCCGCCTTTATCTCGAAAGTTCTATTCTCACTTACAAGTCAGAGTTATCTTTCTTTGCCCATTGTCTACACACTAGGTAAATAGGGAAAATGAGGGTACCGAAAATCTGCAAAATGTGGAATCTGATTTCAAAACAAATTATATATTTAGTATTTGTAGAATAACCTCTGTTATACATAATAATATCTTGAAAAAATATTAAAAAACAAAAAAGTTGAAAATTGACCAAACACAAGTTCACTTCCGGTTCGGACAGGAAGTACCGGAAACACACGAAAACAACTTCGAAACAAAGAGAATGTCATGATCTAATACCCCTGTAAATTTCACATCTTTACCTCAAACTGTTTCCGAGAAAAATTCCGGACAAAAGTCCATTTAAAAATTGGAAATTCGGCCGTAACTTCGGACCGGAAGTGAATTTTTCAAAAAACGGAATTTTATATAAACTTCATATATCAGCCTACTATCATGTGAAAAATTGTGAAAATCTATCCAACCATCTCTGAGTAATCGCGCTCACAAAATTTGGGAGGAATAATAATAATAATAATAATAATAATAAAAAGAAACAATACAATCACTATAAGTCTTCCGTTGTGAACGGAAGACTTAAATAATAATAATAAGAAACAGAGTAAAAACAATATGTTCCCCAACTTCGTTTGGGGAACATAATAATAATAATAAGAAACAGAGTAAAAACAATATGTTCCCAAACTTCGTTTGGGGAACATAATTAGAAATAAAATATTTTTTGTTTGACTTTAAAAACATACTGTGTATATCTAAGGTCAGGTAATCCCCACTTTTTAATCTTTTTGAAAATGAAAAATATATCCAGCCAACTGAATAATTTCCTATTCCTACTGAAAAAAAAATTGTATAGATAAATTCATAATTAGTACAAATGAGAAGTACCAAAATAAATTCTACAATTTAATGATTATAATCAGCAATAATTCTGCCATCGTTTTCATGAAGAATCCACTTTATTAATCGTTTCATTACGCATGTGTTAATTTTATTTTATACAAGTACTTTCCGTTAAAGTTGTATCTATAAGTTTGAAAATTTTAAAAAGCCATAGAGCGTATTACTATTAGTTCGGAGTCGAGTGCATCATATGCAATGGTACTTTTTTTCCCCGCATTATAACACTAACCTGCGATTCCTTTCTTGTCACAATTCATGTCCGGCATCATATAATACCTTCATATTTTGGCTAGGATCTCGGTCAATATAAGAAATATATAATATCTCTGAACAACTTTTAAATTTTTTCACACAGTTCACAAGAAAACATTTCATTCGTTCGATAGGGATTAGCTAGAAATCGGATCGAGTTTTAGCAAAGAAATAAAGAAGCACACAAACATGCCATTTTCTCTCGATTACACCCACCATTCATGAAGAGATAAAGAGTACAGAAAACCAAGAACACAATGAATATTCTATGTGCATTATAATGATATGCGCAGCTTTATGCGCAGTAAAATTGTTTGTGTAATTTTTAGTTTCCTCTGCTCGTGCAGTTTTTGATTTTACGTTTGTGCATTTTATACCCCTTAATCGTGTAAAAAAAAATTAGGATTCGTGTATTTTTCGTTCTGTTTGTGTTAAAATCTTTCAAACTATGTACAATTTTTACCGATACGTGCATTTTTATTTTACTCGTGTATATTTTTCATATAAAATCGTGATCGTTGTGCAGAAAATAATTTTGAAGCAATCGGCGTGCCATACATCTTCTAAAGATTATGTAGTAAAAGCATTTTATTTATAGTATACGGAGAATAAGTAATTCATACTATCATACTTTCAGATTTTATTTTGAAATATATTTCAAGGGAAATGCAGGACCACTTGTTCACTTGATTTTTTTGTATCTATTTGTTGATGTGAAAAGGCTACTTTCTTACTAATACTGGTCAGAAAAACATTTGCTCCATTAAGAAATATGTTAATGACAATTTCTTAAGAAAGGTAAAAGTAACGAACAGTGATCGATCTACAAAAACCACAAATAACGCAAAGTAGTAAACAGGGCATAAAACACGGACTCATAAAAATTCCAGAGGTGGAATCAGGTGGCTAGAAGGAGTAAGTATCGCCTATTGACCTGTCACCCCCGACGTGACTAATCAGGAAATTGTATAGATCTGAAATTTGTAATTTATATTTATACAGGAACCTGTGGAAACTGAGAGTCGATATCATTTTTTGCAAATCAAACACAAATGAAACTTTTATTTAAAAAAAAAAAAAAAAAAAAAAAAAAAAAAAAAAAAAAAGAACATTTTTTCTATTTCTAGCTCATTCATTCTAGCTAATTGGGGGAAAAAACTGTCTCAATACATAGCAATGATAATCAGAATGCATCGACTTTCCTGAATAAAGTATTATACCATGATCATGAATTCTACACATACTATATTAACTTTCAAATTTTCTTTTAAACAGGGTAATTTAACGATTCTCTTACCTGTTTATGGACACAAAAGAATGGAAATTTGTATCAAAGGAATATGTAAATCAGGAGAGTCAGTCAAAACCTGTACACGTCCTTCTATGTTGTCAGATCCAAATGAATTTTCCATGCTCACTCTGTACGAAATAGACTCTAGCTCCGTAAACATTCAGGATATTCTAAGACTTGCAAACAGTCAGTTCTTAGGAGATAAATTACAATTGCTACATGACAATGAGGTTGACGTGACACCACTTGGTAGGAAAATATATGGGTTCTTAAGTGGAGTGTCAGGAAAGTCCATCACCTGGTATCTCACAAAGAAACAAGCTGTACCTAAAGTGACATGCCAAAGCGACATGGATTGTCTTCAGTCAATAACCTCAACAGACGGAATAGGAAGATTTAATACAAAACGACTACAACCCAATCAGAAATATTTTATATGTGCATTTTCTGAAATAATAAATTCTACTTCGGAAGTGAAGAGTGATGACATTTCTCTTTGTGGGAATGGCTTTGTTGTTGATAATTTGCCTCCAAAGGGTGGGAAAATTGAGATTTTAAGTAGCAATCAAGAATTTGTTACAAGCGAAAAAGAATTAGAAATACAATGGTCAGGCTTTTCGGATATTGAAAAAGAAGTCAGCCATATTGAACCTGGCATTGCAAGATATGAGCTAAGTATAGGTAATACCACTATTTCTGGTCCCTGAAAACTCTAATAAAAAACATAAATAAATTGTTATAATATCGACCTAAAACATGAAATTTTGTTTGCAGGTTCATTTCAAAGTGGGCAAGATATTTTACAGTCCAGAAATGTCGGTTTACAGACATCAGTGTTTATTTCAAACTTGAGTTTGACGAACGGAATGACATATTTTGCAACAGTGAAAGGTAATGTTAATTATTCTTTTTATCATATTCATAGTACGAATTTACAATAGTTTAAAAAAATGATTTAATTCAAAAGTACTCATCGACTAGTAGCACGATTAAACTCACTATAATTCTTTAACAGCATTTGATCGAGCTGGTCATGTCACAGTTGTTTCTTCTCCGGGAAAGTCATTAGACATGACCCCTCCTGACATTGGTACTATCTTCATCAGAAATCCTAAATCACAAACTGCAACACTTTCCACAAATGCTATTGTTGTACACTGGGAGGGATTCAGGGACAACGAAAGTGGTCTAAAACAGATTCTAATAGCTGTTGGTTCCAGTAATGTTTCTACAGATATTCTAGAATTCTATTCTGTGGATGGAGAGTTTGCTGAAATCAATCTACCAGAATTTATGATTGATGGATATCAGTACTATATATTGTTGAAGGTATCTTTTTTACATTATATTTAAATAAAAGAAAAGGGAATTTTTTTCAACATAATTAAAAAAATAATTTATCAATGTGTGACCACAATTGACTAGTACATCCAAGCTATACTCATGCCGAATAAAATGGGTTATAATATTTGGATTATCTTCAGTTAAAAATTTGCTTAATCTTAAAATATAAATTTGCACGCAGACACATAAATAAACAATGTGATTAAGTCAGAGTCTAAAGTAAATACTGTGTTCAATATGGTCGATTTACAGTACTTTCACAAAAGTTGAATACTCTTTCAAATTATTTCATAAAATTATACAATGTTGGCCTGATTTCAATTCAGCATGATAAACAAGCATACCAAATCAACATGATCAATTTACAGTACTTTTACGAAAGTGAAATACTCTTTCAAATTATTACATTAAATTAAAAAGAGTTTTTACTTTTCGTGTACCATTTAAATCTGGAAGCAAATTTATAAACGGTATGAATTATTGGTCAGCAAAAATTTAATTGAATGTTTTGGCAAAGAAGTATTTAATAGGCATTTTTATGTTTTTGAAGGTTGTGAACCATGCAGATCTGAGTGTGATTGTTGCATCTGAACCATTTTTGTTTGATGGAACGCCACCTCATCAAGGACTTGTTCAAGATGGTCTAGCGGTTCGTTTTATTAAAAGAAATCAGTAGGAATGCTTACCAGTATATAGTTAATAAGTTTATCAAAGAACATGTAAATTAAACACCTGTTACATATTTTTGCCCTGTGTTGTTCTTAGATATCTTTAAATACTTATAAAAGAACTCATATATCTTAGGACGATGTTGATTTCCAAAATGATACCAGCAAATACTCGTGTCATTGGTCAAGTTTCCTTGATCCTCACACAGGAATTCAATACTATGAAGTAGGTATTGGAACACAACCGTTCAACTTTGATGTATTTCCAGCCAGCAATGTCGGACTTCTAACGGGTATGTTTTGCAAAGTAGACAATAAAGGCATTGCTAATCTTATATTTAAAAAAAAAAGTACTGCATACAAAGGATATATTTCAATGAATTACAATTGATTGCTGTTGAAATTTGCTGGAGATTCGTTAAATTATGATACGCAAATCATATTTGGTATTTAGGCGTATTGAAAACTAAGAAAACAATTTTTTATTGGGGTTGGCAGAAATACGTTTTGATAAAATTAACTAGATGTTAGTCAATAGATAGAACATGTTCTTCTGTGAGGTAGAGCCAGGAATTCGTATTCAATACCTTCGTTCCCCCTTTCTACAATGAAATATATGGAGATAACGAAGAGTGTTCAATCTCAAATGTCAACTGAAACACTACAAATTAGGAGCAGAGCAAACAAGGACTTCTAAATCATTAGAGGTGGGATCAGGTGCCATGGAGTAGTGAGCATACCCTGCCGACCGATCACACCCGCCGTGTGCTCCTTGTCATGATCGGGAAATAATGGAAAAATCCGTCGAAAATTTAGTGTGTAAATAATGGTTTAACAATTAGTATGAAAAACGTCAGTAAGCATTTGACTTAGTGATAGATTGTTTTTGCTGACAAGGTTATTGTATCGACAACAGAACTTACGAAATGATGACTTTAAACTAGACTGTTGATATTCTTTTTTCATCAACTTGTTTGTCAGTAACTTACCTCGTTTTAGAAATTGTTCATACGTAGAGCATGCTTTTGCGAATTGAATGAAGTGAGAGATATACAAACCCCATATGCAGATGATGAGAGTTTGCTGCATAAGTAAGGGAAGTTGACGATTGAAAAGGTAAAGTCATCACGCTTATCATAATGTTTGTTGTTAGATTATCATTAACGTCTTTTTCTAGTAAAATTTCCAAATATGAAACAGATGTGTCAACCTCTGTGGTATTATTTATTTCAAGCTCGCTGGGATATATCATGTCGACATATGAATGGAAATAACAATTGTAAATTGATAATACGTCGTCCATATATCTAAATGACGAGTTGAAGGCCACGGCAAGAGTTTTCTTTTTCTCATGCATTAGATTTTGAATAAATTATGCTTCATATAAACATTAAAAAAAGGTCTGCTAATAACGGGGCGCAATTGGTACCCATGGGAATTCTAACAGATTGTTGGAAGACCTGGGGCCCATTTTACAAAAGAACGTAGGACTAAGACAAAAACTTTCGTTGATTGTAAAATTCTGCAAAAGTAATGATTCTGTTCAAAATTGATAGAATAAAAATACTTACTATATTCCTTTTAAAAATGATAAAATCGTTTTACTTTAAAGTTATAAGCAGAATTAATTTTTTGGTCTTAGTCGTAAGTTCTTTTGTAAAGCGGGCCCCTGGTCTCCAAAAACTACACAGATAGTGTCAATCAGAAGCTCAAGCATTTTTTAATATCAACTTCAGAGTACTTGTGTGTACAATCAGAATGTTTTTAACAAGTTAATTTTGCAAATGTCCAATGACAAGGTAAGTAAATTTACGAGTTCCATTTTTTATTAAAAAAGCAGCTGTCAATGATGTCAAATAGCCTCGTTCAAACACTGCGGCATAAATATCTGTAGAAAATTGGTAAAGTGGAATATGGTAAGAGAAATTAATTCTTCATTTTTTTAAAACTAAACGATTTCTTTTCAGATTTTACTTGGAACAGCATATTTGAACCTGGTATTCAATATTTTGCCACTGTCAAAGCTTGTAACCATGCTGGATTGTGTTCAAGCGTTTCGTCAGACGGTGTAATCATGGACAATTCACCTCCAATCCCTGGACTGGTCCATGTCGGTTTTAGCAATCAGCATGAACCATTTATGCCTCACAAGTACGTAATCTATCCATGTAATCTTAAAAAGAACTTAATAAATTTAACATTTTGCAATTTTAATACATATTTATCTTTTAGTAATTCCATTTCTGCATCTTGGGTTGGTTTTGTGGACCCACAGTCTGACATTGACCATTTTGAGTGGTGCCTAGGTACATCCCCAGGATATTGTCAGCTCGTAGATTTTGAAAACATAATGCTATCGAACCGGGTGACAAAGACGGGCCTACATCTTCCTCCTTCAACTGATCTTTATCTAACACTTAAGGCATTCAATAAAGTTGGCTTACTTACAGAGCGTACTTCTCCAAAATTCCAGGTAGATCCAAGTCCTCCAGTTTTAGTCCAAAATCCAGAATTCATCACAGGTACTCATGGACTATCTCTCATTAATGGAACACAGTTTGACGGTTCTTTGATTACTATTGGGTGGCTTTTTCAAGATATGGAGAGTTCAATTACTAAACACCATGTAATATTAATGAGCAGTCGAAATGGGCATGTGGTTCTTGAAAATAATGAAATTGGTAGCCAAACACGAATAACTGTAATGTCTCCCAATGGAACATTTCTTAGAGATGGGGATTCCTATGTTGTTAAGGTAACTAGTTGTAATGGCGCTGGTCTTTGCACATATTCAACATCAGGTACACTCCATATCGACTCCTCTCCGCCATCACTTGGCGGTTTCATGAACCCAATGTCATGGCACAACAAAGGGACCACGACTACCATTCATCTAGCGTGGTATGGTTTTGTGGATAATGAATCAGGACTTCGAAACTATATAATAAGTGTTAGCGAATCATACTCTGGAAATGAACTGTCAAATGGTTCAATTACTGTGCAGCATATCAACAGCACCAATCAATTTTTGTCATTGAACTTGTCAAAGAAACTAAACAGCAATGACGTTATTGTATTATCAGTCACTGGAACTAATAATGTAGGTTTGAAAAGTAAAACAGGAAAGGTGTCTGTTGTCCTTGTTTCCAACAATAAAAACAATACAAAGGGGTATCTCTCAATTCAGCGTTATTCCTGTGTCTCTCATTATTGCAATAACGACTGCACCTGCGCAGTAATAGGTAAAAAGTGTTTGAATAAATTCAATGCACCTTGCACAGAATTATACAATGTTTCCAGTACGATACTTGATGTGTCAGTTTATTTCGGATTATCTCCAATTTCTTCGACGATGGCTTCGAGTTCCTCATGTATATCAGGATTTTGGGAGAAAGTAGCAGGGTCAGTAAGAACAGTGTTCCGCTACGAATGGAGTCTAGGTGAAATGGGAGAGAATCCGGGAAGTGGAATATTTGACGCAGCTACAGAAAGCATATGGTATGATAATGGCATTAATCAAGATTTAGTGTATTGTTTACCATCCCACAAAAGACTGCTACATGGACAACACTACACACTGTATATAAGGGCATGGATATCCGAATCTGAGTTTGTTATATTCACGTCAAACTCTCTTTTGATTGATTTAACTCCTCCACAGATAAGACTTGGTCGAACAGTAATTGAATCAGTGGATAACTGTAGAAGCGATGTTGATTTCATCGGTATTTTAAGACAGTTTAAAGTATGTTGGCAAAATTTATTCTCGGAAGGACAGGGACAAATAGTAGCCTATGACATAAGTGGAGGAACAAGACCTTATGGTATATCTTTATTCTTCTTACATACGCAGCAGGAATTCTTTCAATTCATTTTTATCGTGTTCATATATGATATTAATCTTTTTTTATTCCTAGGCGATGACTTCATATCACGAAGATCCGTCCATTTATCCACTTCTGTAGAAGTTAATCAAACAATGACACCAGGAACTACCTATTTTTTCACTATTTTTGCTAAAAACAACATGGGATTGGAAGCTGCGGCAATGTCCGACGGTGTACTCCTTGATGTTGATAATCCTGTACCTGGAATTGCATACAACACCAAACATTTTCGAAATATTTTATACCAGTCTTCAAACTCTTCGCTTGCAACATCATGGCATGGCTTTGAAGATCACCAGTCGTCGATTAAATTCTATGAGGTGGGTGTTTATGAAAAAGACGATGGTACAATAATCCAGAAAGATGAATCGGCATCCATTTCAAGTAACCACATATTCAGTAACATAAGTCTGCAGCACAATAAAAGTTATCACACTCGGGTTCGAGCATTTGATGCAATGGATCACCCTTCCCAGTATGCATATTCAAAACCAATCAAAATTGATAACACTCCACCACTCGGAATAAGTTGCAAATCATTTGAAGAATCGGAATTTAATTTGATTTCAATTACGAATCATAAAGACATTTATGGTCTGAAGGAAACGATAGTGAATGGAATTTTTACAGCTACAAAGAATGATATTTACAAAATTTTAATCAAGTTACCTGAAAGGTTACAATTCAATTCAATCAAATTGCATATTGGATACGAAACAATGCTGTTGTACACATCACAAACTGCTGATTCGAGTACTTCTGCAGAACACGAGTTTTTGTCCAACAATGATGGTCTTGTCAACTTAAGATTCAAAGTAGCAAGTCGAAAGGACATACCTAATAAAAGTATTTTAGTACGCGTTCAACACTGTAGTTTGTCTGAACCCAGTACAAGTCCATTAATGGTAAGTCAAATAAATCCTGGAACTTTGTCCGTCTGCAGTTTCCTCTTCGATCCGGAAAGTGGTGTTGAAAACATTTTAGTCGGTGCTGGCACAACCAGAGGAGGATATCAAGTGAGATCATTGTCTCCCTTCTCTAGGTCCAATCACGGTGTAATACAAACGAATGCTCCGCATGGCAGTCGAATCTATCTGACAGCTACGGCAAGAAACTATGCTGGTTTATCGTCATTGTTTCAACAAGAAATAACTTTAGATCATAGTGCTCCAATTTTGAAAAATTTGACTGTCGAAATACGAAATTTTGCGATAGAACAAGATTTGGAATTTCCTAACAACACTGATCTAGGTGTTATAGAAAATGAGACGTTAACCACAAAACAAGCAGAGTCGGCCTTGACAATCAGAAGACAAACTGAAGTCGTAGTGACATGGAATATCACAGAGGAGGAATCTGAACTTTCATCTTGTTATTGTTCTGTTGGTTTGTAATAATATTGATTTTTAATTTTATAAATACACGTGTAGCTTTAAATAAATTTTAGATGTCAATCACAAGCTTTATTCTATTTCAGGTTCTTCCCAAGCTTCTGCATTTCGACGCTGGCAAACTAGTCTTGATAACAGAGAATGTAAATTGTCAAGCATGTCCTTTAATCATGGAACAACAATATATGTTACCGTTAGATGCATAAACAACATCCAACTTATGGTTGAAGAGATAGCAGGGCCTTTCAAAATTTACCATAAATCACCCCAGATTGAGAGTGCCTCACTCTCATTTTATCCCAATAATCGGTATACAGTTCTGAGGAAGCAGTCGATAATCCCATTGCAAGAAAACTTAACAAATGTCGACTTTTTCTGGAATGGATTTCAAGATGAAGGTGGAATATCCACCTATGAAACTCGAGTACGAAGGAATGGAAAGGTCATTGCGCCATGGAATTCAGTTGGTCTACGGAATTGTGCAACACGAGTAATACAGAATTCAAAAGCAGGAGACATCATTGATGTAGACGTTCGCGCAGCAAATGATGGCGGATACCGAAGTCAAATTTTGAATTCTTCTATCGTCCTAGACAACAGACCACCAAGCTTACAAGGTAATTCATTTACAGGATATTACAGTCCATTTTAGGAGTTTTTTCTTGTTTTTTCAAATCCTTTATTTGTGTCTCACAGGTGAGTCAGCATCTTTCATTTCATCTGGTGAGAATGTAACAATACGATGGAACAACGTTTTTATACCCTCTCAATATGGTGCAACAGTCTACCAAGTCTCGGTGGGTTCCATTGCTGGAAGTTCTGATCTACAGTCACCAGTATCCACTCTGGCAGAAGAGGTACAGTTTGAATGGACACCAAATGGTTCCCAACATCAGATTTTTGTCAACATTTTGGCCATTGCGCCAAATGGTGAATTCTCTCGATATAACACCAAATTTTATGTTTGAGAACTCAACTTTTGAAATCAATAATGTTTTCCAAAGTACATCGAACACAAATCAATATTATTGTCGATATACCGTCCATGTATATATAAATGCTAATTGATGTAGTTATTTGCTGTGTTAATTTGTGTTATAAGTGTATCATGTAGAATAAACCTGGCAAATGAAACTTGTTGTGTTTGTCCTGACTTTTCCTACGATAACATTTTCCAAAACTAATTTTCTAAGATTTTTATATTCACTAGTCTTAATCAAATCCGTCCTGTGGTAGAATCTGACTACCTGGGATTACCTGTTTTATTTTTTTTATTATTATTATTATTATTATTATTATTATTATTATTATTATTATTATTATTTGTAAAGATAACGGTAAAATCTGAATACCTGTGATTACGTGTTTTAATTTTTTTTTTTTTTTTTTTTTTTTTTTTTTTTTTTTTTTTTTTTTTTTTTTTTTTTTGGTAAAAATAAATTTTTGTCAAGAAAAATTGGAAATATTCATACAAAGAAAAAATTACATTTTGATAAAAATCTAGTCAAACTTTAAAAAATAAATACATGTATCTCTCAAATGTAAGCTCCAATATTTACATTTCCAAATAGTTTCCATAGATGAACTTGCTGAAAAGCAAATATGTTCAATTCTTTATGAACGTATAAGGGAGTCAGAGGTCATAGTGTGACCGAATCATACAGCGCGACAATATCTTGCCTCATATTTCTGTCACTCTCACAGTTAAACTAGCTTCGGCCAGGCACGTAGCAACGGTTTCAGAAGTTAACAGTCCAAAAAGTGGGGGACAGACTTTCCAAAATAATCTGACAAGCAAAAAATAAAAGGGCGAAAAAACAAAAAAAACGGAATTAACCGTCCAAATCCTGGAATTTCCCCGTGCTAGACCTGATTGCAACAAAGGGGGAGGAGGGCAACCAGCATATAAAGGAAAATTCGGTAAAGAAATACTATACACAGAAAAAGTGATACATAAAAAGAGAGAAGTTTGATGTGCAAATTACTTGTAAAACTTTGAACACCTGTCATAAATCTCGCTCTCTTTTTATGTATCAGTCGTAACGATATATTTAAAAACATCTTATTGAGACAAAATGGTTACATTATCGATATCAGGTAGTGCATATTAGAGTACATAAATAGGAAAAAGGTTTTAAAAAAGAAAAAAAAATGAAATGGGGTGGTGGTGGGGGTCCAGCCCCCAAGTGTCTGTGATCATATTAAGTTAATATGCAGGGTCCAATACGAGGTTCAATAAATAATGCAATAGGTCATCTAAAGGTAAGAAAAGTACGTAATACATTTTCTAATCACTTTCAATCCTTCAAAGTATTCCCTGTTACCAAGTCTTTGTACTCATGACCAGAAAACCTCAGCACATTCATTTTTAGGAATGCCCCGAAGACACTGATGCATATCACTTCCCATGACATATCTAATAATGAACAATCTTCCTTTGGTTGTTTTCTTGTGTTTTTGGAATAAAAAGATCTCACAATGGCTGAGATCTAGAGAATATGGGGGATGGCAAAGCTTTGTAAACTTTCTTTTCTTCAGAATTTCATTTATTTCTCTGTGCTTGTTTGCAGCAGTGTTGCCAGGTGCAAAAAAAAAATTACCCTGGGGCGGTATTTGGACTTCCTTTGCAGGAAATCTGTTTACCTTTCCTCAGTGCAATTTGAACATGAAAGTTGCCATTGATGATCCTTCCTTTTGGTGTATGTACATGCTTTACTGGACCTATTGAAAAAATGAAAACTAATGAAACATGCTTAAAGCCCTTGTTTCTCTTTACAATAATAAGAACGATAGCTTTTTCCTTGATTCCACATTTTTTTTACTGATCTTCCTTTTTTGGCTATAAAAAGTGCACCCATGTTTCGACACAAATTTAACAAATCTTCCCATGTTTCGACACAATTTAACAAATCTTTTATTTTGTATAAATATTTCTTTTTTTAATAGATCCTTGGCACATTTACTGAGTATTTTTTCATGGGCACTATCTGATAGAAATATTATTATATTCATTTCCGTCGGCAGAATTCTATAAAATGTTGTAAGATAAATTGCTTAGTGTCTTAGCAATGTCTTTCAATGTAAATCGGACATACTCAGATATCACATGTTGCACATAGCACCGATAATTTCTGGTGTTCCTACAAATTTCAATCGACCAGTTTGACTATTATATTTTAACTCTCCTTTTTTACTTTTGAATTTCTGAATCTGAAAAAAAAAAAAAAAAAAACTGTACATCGTTAAAGACTATTCGTTCCATATATAAAAATCAGATCTTTAATACGAGTTCTTCGGCGATTAATGTAAAGAAGCACAGTTTTCTCATACGTTCTCATTTTCATCACCTTGGCAGAGATCATTTTAAACAGTTTTCAGTTCAGTGTAGTGACCATGCTTGCTTTAAACGTAAATTTCTTTGCGAGGACAATAGGAAAAATCATGGGGTTTTCTGTGATTAGGAGCTCTTTAATTGAACGTTTAACTGTGAAAAAATAAAATCAAACATTATTTATTGAACAATACGATATGGCCATCTAATAACTAAACTGTATGACAAACGGGATGAATAGGCTAGAGCTGTTCACCACCTGCATATGGTGTTTATGTCTCCCAACTGATTTGATACGCAAGAGCATGCTCTAATACGATCAATTTTTGAACAGATGCAAGCTAGTGACAAGTTGATGTTTCAAAGATTTCAACAACCCCGTTTAAAGTCAGCTTTTGGCAATTCGGTCGTTATAATGACCTTGTTTGTAAACAGCCTACCGCTGGGTCGATGTATTTTGTCTGACGTGTTTCATACCATTCGTTAAGTCATTGATTTTATACTAAATTCGACTACGGAGCACTCCGTCTACCTGATCAATAAACAGTGCTCACGGCGGTGGTGACCGGTTGACAGGGGATGCTTACTCCTCCTCGGCATCTGATCCTATCTCTGTTTTTTCCGGGGTACCTGTTTTTGTCCTGTTCACGATTCGTTTTGTTTACTGGATTTTTGAGATTGATCATCGTTCGTTTCCTCTACTTTTTACATGTTTAATCATCTATTACAGAAATATATATTTCAGTTTGGGGATATATATCAGATTTATTCATTTAATTTTATTTCAATCAACAACATTTAAAATTAAAGGAGGAAGCAGAAATAGGGCTAAACTAGTTACTTGTGACTTTAATCATTACTACGCATTTTTCTCTGACATGATCGACAATCTTGACCAAGGTTTTGGGAAGTAAAAAACATTGAGATAAATAAGATATCGACCTCGCAGTACTTATTTTTATCTCCACTGGCGAATTCTTAGAGATCCATGGGATACAAGTCAAATAAACACTTCGATTAAATTCCTATGCTACATCAATCAAGTAGTTCATTGTAGGTGACAACTTGAATATTTTTTTTCTAACTGGAAAAAACGTAGATAAGCGTATCTAGCTAATATTAAGTTTGTCCACTTCCCGTCAAGCAGAGAATTCTTTGAAACTTTAATGTAAAAAAAAATACCAGAGAGAATTCGGACATCAAATGTGTAACGTGCGTTTCGCGAAAAAGAATTTTCCTTTCAGAACATTTCAGAAAATGTATCCGAATTTTTGGAAATCCAATTATTTGTTCCGCCTAAGACATCAAACAAATAGGCATAAATGAAAATAACCTGTACAACTTTGCTAGTGAACATGCTAAAAAAAAATAATTAAAAAACAAAACAAAAATCATGTCATATAATTGTATGGATTGCTTATTTACACCTTGTCCGTTGAATACCTGGGCTATGAATAGGATATAGGATGAATAGAATTCCTCTCTCTCTCTCTCTCTCTCTCTCTCTCTCTCTCTCCTGTAACAGACCTAAAGCAATTATTCCCATAGAAAGGAATATAACAACCAAAACAACACAAGGTCTTTAATATTTCAGAAAAGTTCGGGTTTATTATAAATAGATAAATGCTGTAGGTGGTTTGAGACTTTGAGTTTAGAGAATAGACGGATAAAGGAACATATGTGCAATACATAAGAACTTTAAATATTGAAAATATGTGCATTCTTATCAAAGTGGATAAGTCGCCCGTACAAAGTATCAGTTTTTGCGTAATTTAATCGTGATAAGGAATTGATTTTCATTCTATCACGTGTAATTCTGTAAGAGAGAGCGCCATGCTTCTCCGAGGTTTACCTGCTTTATTTTACTGCATTTTCTTATTGTTTTTAATATATGGTAAGCATTTATTTTTGGCTTGACTGTATTCATTTTCAAGTTCAGTAGCATCACAGCTGAAAGTGCGTCCGATTTTTAAAAAAAAAAAATGTTTTAATCCGTTTCTTTTCGAAGCGAGTATTCATTCATTTCCTGTATGAAAAGGTACAGAATTGGCATCTTTCTAATTTTTTGCTGATGGCAAATTTATTGCTATTACAGTTCTTCCGCCAATTAATAGGGGCGGGAGAAGGCTTTTTAAAAAAAAAAATAAAGAGAATTTCTCATTTAGTAAATAGTGATGACTGACTGTTTAGGTCGCCTGCGTCACTCAGAAAACATTTGTCCGTCGTCATGCATCGTGACGTCCGCTAACATTTAAACATTCTCAGCTTCTTCTCTGGAACTGCTGAACTAAATTCAAATAATGTGAGGTATATGGTATCCATGGGAAAAGGGAAACAACAGTTGTGAATTTCATAATCTCTGCCCACTGGGGCCAAAACCATCCAAAATGAATGCAATCTTCAAAAGATCCTGTTCTTAACTCCTGGAAATCAAGCAGTCAAACTGTTGACATTATTATAATAAGCAACGTGTCCAGTACCAAAACGTAGAAATTCATTATGTTTGTGTTCAGTGTTCAGGCCGCAGGATGGGGCGAAGTAGATCATGGATCGAAAATGCAATGTATGTAAAAGGTGAAGATAACAAACAGTGAACAATCTCACAAATCCAGTAAACAAAAACGAATCGTGTACAGGGCAAAATTACGTACCACTGGAATCAACAATGATAGGATCAGGTGCCTAGGAGAAGTAAGCATCCCCTATCGAT